CTTTATTTTATTATAAAGATGTAGTATACAAGTCAGGATCAGGTACATAAGTAATCTATGTACAGGTGAAGTTTAGGCCTCCAACTGGTCTTCACTTGCCCTGGTTTAGGACCAGGTATCCTTTGTATTGTTATGTGCCTTTCCCTAAATTTTTTCATTTTAAACAATGCACTATTATTACTGATATCTGTATTAAAGTAAGCCAGAATGAATTTAGTAGAACTTACATTCGTTTCCTACTGCTGCTGTGACAAATAACAACAAATGCAGTGGCTTAAAACAATGCACATTTTTTTTTACAGTTGTGGAAGTCAAAAGTTCAAAATCAGTTTTACTGAGCTGAAATCAAGGTGTTGGCATGTCCTTGCTCCTTCTAGAGGCCCTACGTGAGAATCCATTTTGTTATCTTTTCAGCTTCTAGAGCTGCATTCCTTGCATTCGTTGGCTCATGGCCTTTTTCTTCATTTTTCAAAGCCAGCAGTAGAATCTTTCTTTAGTTATTATATTATATTGTCTTCTTCTTCTATAGTAAAATCTCCCTCTGCCTCCCTTTTATAATGACACATGTTATTATAGTTAGGGCCTACCTGGATAATCCATGATAATCTTCCCAACTCAAGATTCTTAAATTAATGAAATTAGGCTAATCTCCTTTTGTCATATAAGGTAAAATTCACAGGTTCCAGGGATTAGTGCCTGGATATCATTGAGGACCCTCACTAACCCTACCACAGGCCTCCACTTTTTACTTCCATTTTTGCCATGGCTTTGTCTGGTAGTGTGTGAGATGCATTTGCAGTGGGTGGTTCTCACTTTAAGACCTGGTTACACCTATAAGATGGCCAATGATAACCAGTCTATTTTCTTCTGACCCTTTCCTAATTTAACATAATTAGCATATCTCTTTTAAGGACAACATGCAGGGTACTTAATTGTTAAAATGAAGTAGACCATGTAAGAATAGCTAGAGAGCTAGCTCCTTTTTTGTCTTGAGTGGTGGTGGGAAAAGCACTTGATGCTGCTACCTCTGTTGTTATAAGTAGCCAGTTGGACCATGGACATCCACAATGCACGAATGTGCCAGACCACAAGCCAACAAGATCAGTAGGAAACATGGAAAATTATAGGTTAAGTGTATATGAAATATGTATAGGAAATAGAGGCTGAACTGTCCTGCTGTGGGAGCATGAACCTTCTTGCTGTAATATCTAGGGTGTTTTCTTTGATATCAACAACTGATTTTCCAATTCTCCAAATATCAATGTGTTAGGGTTGTCAATGTTCAACAACTCAACTCAATTCTTACACTAAATATCCAGAGTTAGCAGCAGATGCCACAGGTTTAAGAGCTCAGTCTCACAAGGCTGCCCCCACTTCAAATGCCAATTGCCAGTTTTGAGCCATCAGTACTTCTGGCCAACTGGATATAATTTGAAAATTCTCATGACCCTTAATGTTTGATAATTTGCTAGAATAGCTCACGGAACTCAAGAAAATACTTTACTTCATTTATATTTTTTTATAAAGGTCAGGAACAACTAAATGGAAGAGATGCATAGGGCACAATATGGGGGTGGAGTAGCACAGAGCTTTCATGCCCTCTTTGGGTATATCACCCTCCCAGCAAGTTGATGTGCTTACTAAACCAGAGGCTCACCAGACTCTGTTGTTTAGGGATATTTAAAGAGGTTTCATTATGTAGGTACGATCTTTTTCTTTCTCTCTTCCCTTCATTCTTTCCTCCCTCCCTCCCTCCCCACTCCCTCTCTCCCTCCCTCTCTTTCTTTTGACAAGGTCTCTCTTTGTTGCTCAAGCCAGAGGGCAGTGGCATGATTGCAGCTTACTGTAGCCTCAAACTCCTGACCTCAAGCAACCATTCTGCCTCAGATTTCCAAGTAGCTGGAACTACAGGTGCATGCTAGGTTCCAGCTACTTGATAGATACAGGGTCTCCCTATGTTGTCCAGGCTAGTCTTGAACTCTTGGCCTCAAGCAATCTTTTTGCTGTGGCCTCCCAATGCACTGGATTAATGATGTGAGTCAGTGAGCCCAATTTAGGCAGGGTTGATTCACTCATTGGCCATTGTGATTGAAATTCTCAAGCTCCTCTAGGGAGGTCCTGAAGTGGGACTGAAAATTCCAAGCCTCAGACTAGGGTGCGATGGCTGATGTTGGTAATCCAGCACTTTGGGAAGCTCAGGTGTGAGGATCGCTTGAGGCCAGGAGTTCAAGACTAGCCTGATCAACATAAGGAGAACCAAGTCTGTATTTTTTTAAAAAAGGAAAAAAATTCCAACACTCTAATCATGTGGTTGGTTCCTCTGACAACCAGTCCCTGTCCTGAAGCTATCTAGGGGCCCACAATGAATCACCTTCTTATCACCCAGAAAATTCCAATTGTTTTAGAAGCTCTGTTAGGAATCAGGTACAAAGATCAAATGCATATTTCTTATTATAGCGGTTTTGTGATGTAAATCTACATCTATATTTATTTTACTGCTGGGAATGATTCTTTAATTTTACCATAATAAACAAAAAGTGCATATTGAACTGCAGGTTAACTAACTTTTGCTTTTCTAAGAAATTGTTTATAAATACTTAACTTGCAAAATTTGCATTAAGGGGACTGTAGTGATATCATTGACCCATGAAACCCCAAATCTACAAACATGCTGAAGAAGAATTAATATCCCCTTTAGAAGGTCATAATTACTTTAAGAATAATGTGCCAAGTTAGTACATGCAAATGCAGAAGTTGTGTTGACTTCATATTATGTGAACAGAAGTTCTAACTTAGATTAAATTGCATTTTGTCAAATATAATTATACTAGCATTGAATTCCAAGGTTTTGGGCACATGTTTAGAAATATGAGTGATACTCATTAATAAGTTGGCTCCATTAGCAAAAGAACTTGGCAAACGATTACTGATGACAGCTTGAAATCAGTATCATCAGATAATGAAAACAGGAAATCAGTTATTTTCAACAGTGATTTAATATTATTTTCATCAAATTAATAAATTAATAATAATTGTTTTTGAACATTTATGCTGATGAAAGGGACTTAGTCCCGAGAATTCAGTTAAAAATTCAACATTGAGGATATATTTTGAGCAGAATATCGCAGGAAGATAAATGTTTTATGAAATTAAGAAAGAAATGCAGCAGAAATATAATCAGAATGGGTTGTGTTGCACACAAAATTCTAATTGTGCAATCAAGATATGGTATTTTGCAAATTAAAATAAAAGCAGTAGTTGCCCACATTTACACATAAAAGCCACACACTCATGTGTACGTATGCATGTGGACACATATATATACACTTACACATATATGTGTGTATAAATATACACATTTGATTTTTATTTGCATTTTTATGATGATTAGTGATCAGTGGATAATGAAAATGTGAATGGCATGGAATACCATTCAGCCATGGAAAGTAATGAAATAATGTATTTTGCAGCAACGTGGATGGAATTGGACACCATCATCCTATGTGAAGTAACACGGGAACAGAAAACCAAACATGTATGTTCTTATAAGTGGGAACTTAACTATGGAACTGCAAAAGCATATAGAATGTAATAATGGACTCAGAAGGGAAAGGCTGGGAGGGTATGAAGTCACCTACCCAGCACAATGTGCACAAGTGGGGTGGAGGATACCCAGACTTCTTCGCCACTATACAATGCATCCATGTAACCAAAAATCGTTTGTATCCTCAAAAGCCACTGAAACAAAAATTTTTTAAAAATTGGGTATATCTATGAATGTACACTATACTGTAGAAATTACAATATTGGTGATATTTTAGTTTTTGTATTTGTTGAGTGGTGGTTTCCCAAATGTGAAAGAAAAAAAGACAAGGGAAGAGAAGATCAGTGAAGTAAAAAGTAGGGATGGAAAGGAAAGGAAAGGGATAATACAGGGACAAGCAGGGATCAGCGATAAAGGTGTGTTGTGAAATAAGGATTATAATAAATCTGTGCATCTGAGGTCCATATTAAAAATGTCTCAATATTTTCTTTTCTAGCTGTCTGACATTCTCCCTCTATGAAAACAGGTGAAATGTTGAAGGGTAAGTCTCTAAGTATGGGAAAAGATCAACAGAGGTGGCGAGAAGGCAGTTGGTGAAATCGTTTTGAGTACATGGACTTTGAGGTTCCTCAGGGACACTGGAGCACTGATGCCCGATAGACAGGTGGCAAAGCTGATCTGAGATACAGAGTAGGGAACAGCCTAGAGATGTAGATTTGGGAGTCGTCGGGGTTTACAGAGACGTGAACAAGATCACCCAGTGAGAGAGAACATTTGGACTGAGGAGAGAAGAGGACCAAGACAGAACCCCAGAAACACCACCACTCAGGGTGACAAGTCAGCTTCCTGGCAAGCACCACTACCCGGGCTCTAGAGTCAGGCAGAGTCGATCTTGAAAGCGGGTTGTGCTCTTGACAAAGTCAGGTACCCTCTCTAATGAGCTGTCACACCTGGCGACGGTTGGCATCTGAGAAAGATGCTGTGAGATGCGCCAGGTAAAGCTCCTGGGGACAGGAAGCCACCCTCTCCTCCTCTTCTCCGTGACACGACCGCACACCCTCCCCCCGCCTTATTATACACCATCCTTTCATGTTCCCCACCTTCCAAGTCCCTCTAAGATAAGGAGGTGAGGTGGGCGGGACGAGGGGGTAGGCCGAGCTCGGGTGACGCGGC